AACTTGTTAATCTTATATTGTCCAGATTCACTGAAAGTAGTACCCACAAGTTTTATCAAAAAATATAATGCATATCGCTTAACTCCTAATTTTTAGCTTGATGTAATAAAAAAGGTCAAGAGACACACTCATTGAGGTAGTTCAAGATAAAATAAAAAGAACTGATAGTTAAACATATTTGAATTTTGAATTCTCGTTATAAGGATAAGGAAAAAGTATAACTGTCATAGGTTTTAGCATACTGAAGACATACAATAATGTCTTCCACACCACTTATCGTAGTAGAATGGAAATCATAACTCATTTAAAAGTCAAGATATTACATCGAAATAGATATGAAGGCCAAAATGATGGGGAATTAATTTTCGTCAATTTCAACGCTCCAGCAAGTACAGCAATAAAGTACAGTGTAAGAGTGTGTTGTTACAAGTGGATTTAGTAAAGCATAATCATTCTAACCACTGGTCCCATATTCTATTTAAAGGGCTTCTGACTTTCAGTTAGCCAATTGGTCTCTGCCACACACTCAAATCACTGTCTGACTGCCTATGAATCTTCAATTACCATCCCCAATTACGTCATATTCGAGGACTTAAAGCCCGTGATTCCAATACCTATGAATCTTCCTTTCTATAGGCTTGAGACCCACGAACCAGTTATACTCTTTTCATCCTCAATCCTAGTCGCTAACCTCTTAGTATATATATATGATATTGAAATGCATAATTGTTTCGGAGATAAGAAGAGAAGGAGAATTCAAAGGTATCTAGAATAATCATGTTTTGCAATTCATTTGGCAAGGTAGATGTAAGGCATTCGTAAATTGACCGCTCTTAGTCAATGTTGAATTGATGGTGCTGAATAAATGATACATCAAATCTATTATATTCGAACTCTTACATGCACTTGTCGCTGAATATTGCAGTGTAGAGACTTGTGGCAGCTAATCCAACGGCATGGCTTAAGTATCGAGCAGCCTGAGCATGGTTACCCAGCTGTAACCATCGCAGACCAAGCCATTGTGCGACGGGACGGAGAAGGTGGGGCGCTGGGAAAGCAGAGAGCTGATGATAGGCAGTG